AACCACTGCCACGGAAGTGAGATAATTCAGGGGAATGGAAATAAAGATGGCAGGTTTCACTTAGTCACTCATTTATCCATTTATTTTGAGATCGGCATGCTGATTTCAAAATCTTGGGTAAAATGAATAAGGGAAGAATGGAAGAAAAAAATCAGGTAGATAGAGTCTCAGAAAGAAGTGGGGATATTTCTTACTTTCAACAAAAGGAAAGGGAAGGATGAGTATATTTAGAGATGAAAAAGAAAAGCTGTATGAGTTCAAGCCTGAAAGTTTTTATTTTCTTGATGAAGTAAGAAATTAAGCCATCATCAGGGGGCCATGTCCAGCTGGAAGGCCAAAGAAGATTGGAGGCCAAAAAAGAATAGTAAATGTTTAGAAAAAAGAAATAGAGATGAGTGCTAATTTTCAAATCAGTTTGGAAATCATGAATTTACAAATAAAGCCAATGGAAGACAGTATCCATTTCTTCAGCCCTCAGACAGCAGGACCTACGCAAATTGATGGACCCACTCAATATTGGGGATTGGTGGTGGGTTTGAGAGAACATGGGGCGGGAGGAAAAGGGATTTTTACATATGAATTTAAATGACTAAGGTTACATTGAGCAAAATGAAGGCAAGAGAGAGAAGACAGGCAGAAATTGGAAGATTGGGATGTGATGAAGTGAAAGCAGCTTTTCTGGTAATGAGGGAATAGAAAAGGAGAAGAAAGTACTCAAAGGCAGGAACTGAGGTTTCAGAAACAACATTAAGTTTTAATGTATTTGGTACTTTTTTAAAAAGAATAACTTCAATACGGCAAACAACTGCCTAGGCCTCTTTGGTAATGCCATTAGGGTTATTTCTGTGGCATTCCTGGAATTTGCTTTTTGATTTGCCAGTGTCTTAGAAGTTTTTGTTTGTCAATACGTAAAAATCTACTGCAGCCTTCTGTTTTTTAGTTAATGTTTATTTTATCAAATTAATACATGCACAAAATCTGAAAACTAAAGTAGCACTGGCAAGGCTAACGAAATGCAATGGTGCTTTGCCCCACAGGGCCTGGGTTTCCCCAATCCTCTTCCTCAGACGCTTCTCTTTCTACTCTTGGCTGCTTCTTCTGCGGCCTTTACATTTCTAAATAACAGGCGCACACTGCTATCACACATCAGTTTTAGACATCATCTACTTACCTTTTTTATGGCAAGCAGGAGTTTGTTCGCCCGCTCTGCCGTCACTCTGCTTTACGCACTTGTCCCCCGCTCTTGCAATGCCGTTACGTTACAATTTTTGGTTAAATCAGTATTTGCATTTTTATTGTGCCTATACAAATACTGCTCACAGCTGAAAGTTGTAGTATATTTAATGATGATTTTCTTTCTTCTTTAAAAAAATAAACTTTATTTTTTAGAAGTTTTAGATTTACAGAAAAATTGTGAAGTTCGGACATACAGGGTTCTCACATACCCTGCACCCCGTTTCTCCCACTGACATCTTGCATTAGTGTGGTACATTTGTTACAACTCATACATATCGATACATTATTCTTAACTGAAGTCTGTAGCTTATTCAGATTCCCCTAGTATTTGCTTAATAGTTTTTCTGTTCTAGGATCCCTTTCAGGACACCACATCTAGGATACATTTATTACGGTTGTCATGTCTCCTTCTGCTCCTCTTGGCTGTGACAGTTTCTCAGGCTTTCCTGTTTTCAATGACCTTGCTATTTTTCTCTGAGGTAAAACATGCTTTAACTTTTTTTCAATTTGGTTGGTGCTTTTTTTACTTAATCTATTGGTAATTTCCTCCATGCCTTCCCGTAGCGTCACAGTGCGTTTTCCAATGAGACCATTCGCATCAGGTAATCTCGCCATTCCAGTTGTTTTCGTTAGAGCCCTCGCTCCTGGAAACTAATACTCTCTCTGGGGCGAGTGCTCTCTGGGCTTGCTGTAGTTACCCCTGGACTTCTCTCACTCTCGACTGTGGAATTGCCTTTACTATTCTCCTGGGATGTACTCCCTATACACTGGGACTCGGGCCACCTTCTTTTTTTTGGTTTATTTTCTTGTGTTGGTGAAGTATATTTTCCAGTAGTTTCTTTAGATTAAAAAGAAGATACGGCAGAAAGCATTGTGAAAACAGCCCTCAAAATGCCTGCCTCTTGAGCCATGTTACTCTAGTCTGGACTGGTTACTTTGTTAAGCCCATGCACGGTGGTGATCCTGAAGCTCCCCTCGCTGCTGCCCTGGGTTGTATCTTCCACTTTCTATACCTCATATTTTCCTCTTTCTTGATTTATTCCCTCATTTCGTGGATATACAGGATAGGGTCCTGAGAATGAATGCATAGAAAGTATATTTTTTGAGACCTTATTTTACCCTGATCCTTTGTAGGGTAAAGGAGTTCGAGGCCAGACCCCATCTCTACTAAAAATAGAAAAAGTTAGCTGGGCCTGGTGGCACATGACTGTAGTCCCAGCTACTCAGCCAGCTGAGACAGAAGGATTGCTTGAGCCCAGGAGTTTGAGGTTGCTGTGAGCTATGATGGTGCCACTGCATTCTGGCCCAGGTGACAGAGTGAGTCAGTCTCAAAAAAATAAATAAAAAATAAATAGATAAATAAATAAAAGCTTGATCAGCAATCTGTGGCACAAGGATTTTCATGACTACATGATCCTGAGTTATATTACCCGTTTCAACCAATCTTGAAATTGTTTTGTGGGTCTTCTGCCATCATCAGCTGTTATTATTTTAAAAATAAACAGAAATACTACTTCCTAGCCCTTGAAAGTCATCTTGCATCTTATTGCAAATAACACTTCCTCATGGGATTGTTATGAAGCTTATTATTATTACTATATCATTTTTTTGGGACAGGGTCTCACTCTGTCACTCAGATTGGAGTGCAGTGGGTGGTCATAATTCATTGCAGCCTCAAACTCCTGGGCTCAGGCGATCCTCCCACCTCAGCCTCCCAAGTAGCTGGGACTACAGGTGGGTGCCACCAAACCTGGATAATTAAATTTTTTTTTTTTTTTTGAGACAGAGTCTCACTGTGTTGCCCGGGCTAGGGTGCCATGGCATCAGCCTAGCTCACAGCAACCTCAAACTCCTGGGCTCAAGCGATCCTCCTGCCTCAGCCTCCCTGAGTAGCTGGGACTACAGGCATGCGCCACCATGCCCGGCTAATTTTTTCTATATATTTTTAGTTGTCCAATTAATTTCTTTCTATTTTTAGCAGAGACGGGGGTCTCGCTCTTGCTCAGGCTGGTCTCGAACTCCTGAGCTCAAACAATCTGCCTGCCTCGGCCTCCCAGAGTGCTAAGATTACAGGCGTGAGCCACCGCGCCCGGCCTGGATAATTAAATTTTTTTTTTTTTTTGGTAGAGATGTAGGGGCTCTCTCTCTGTTGCCCAGGCTGGTTTCAAACACCCGGCCTCAAGCAATCCTCCTGCCTTAGCCTCCTAAAGTGCTAGGATTCCAAGTATGAGCCACCGCACAGGGTCCCAGCTGAGGAAACTCGATTATCAAGTTACTCAGGTAAGCCTTGAGTTTCCTTCCTTAGGTTACAGCGCAGTGCAGAATTGAAACTACTCTGTCGGAGGTGACTTGTGGGTCACTGAGAAGTGACCTCAGTTAGCTAGGAAAAAGGGTAAGCTGCCAGTGAGCTTCTTGGACTGCAGCTGCATTTAATTCAGTTTGCCCTTGAGAGTAGGGGCATTTCAGCTTAGCAAACTCTAGAGTTTATGATGGAACCCTAAATCATGGGACAGAGAAATAACTGGGCTTCTTGCTGTCGGAACTTGCCTGCAAAGCCCTCTACATTAACCTCATCTGAGGATCCATCCTCCTAACCCAGCACTCACACACTTGCAGCTCCAAGATGTGCCCTGCTCTCAAAACTCCCTACTTTTTAGCTGTGGCCCCTGACTAGCCCACCATTCCGTTTTTCTTCTGGCCAGCACCTCCTGATGAACGAAACAGCTCTGTGGGCTCTATGCTGTGAGTTCAGAGCCCAGCTTATAGATGACCTTAAGCCTCTAGTGACTATCACACTGTACTGTGTGATTTTTCTGCCTTACCGACTAGGTTTTAGGGCAAGTGCCTTTTTAAAAAGTCTTGTCATGGTCAGGTGTGGTGGCTTTCGCCTGTAATCCTAGCACTTTGGAAGGCTGAGGCGGGAAGATTAGTGGAGGACAGGAGCTCGAGGCTGCAGTGAGCTATGATCACGCCACCGCTCTCCAGCCTGAGCAACAGACGGAGACCCTGCCTCAAAAAAGAAAACAGTGTCCTCAGCTGGGGCACTTAATCTTTTAGGACTTTCAAGCTACTAGTCCCTAGTCCCTACCCTTTATTGCGTCTTCTACTTTCTCTCATAGTTAAAAAGCTCCTTATACTTAGTTAGAGGCAGCATTTTAGCACTGGAGCCCGAAGCAGGAGGGTTTATCTCAGTGACCCGCCAGCCTGCGCGCTCACTTTCGGGCTCGGTGGCACAGCACCGCTCCCGGGTTCGACGGCCAACTCAGGAGACCCTGACCTTCGAACAGAAGGCAAGCAGGAGAGTCCTGGTAAAAGTTGGAGGGCTCACAGCTGTCAGTGCCCTTCGAGGGTAAAAATAAAAACTCAGCCGACCAAAACGAAATTAAAAAGCTTCACACTATTCCATTCTTTTCCGTCTTGCAAACTGCCCTCCGAGCGCCCGCCGGAGCCCCAGGGCAGGGAGCGCCGCCGCGGCCCAGTCCCGGCGCGGGGGCGCGCACACCCCTTTCTGCAGACTCAGGTTTTCAGGCCCCGCCTCCTCCGGGCCCAGCTGATCTCGGCCGCCCATCGGGCCCGGGGCTCAGGCGCCTAAAGCCCCGCGCCCTCCGCCCCGGCCTCCCGGCCCCGGCCCCGGCCGCAGGCACGCCCAGAGCGCGGCGCGCCGGAGCAGACCCGGGTCCGGCCGCGCAGCCTCGGGCGGGCGCGGAGCGCGGGAGGCGGGGCGGCGGGCCCGGGGGCGGAGCGGCGGCCGCAGCCGTGAGCCCGCCCCCCACTCGCCCTCCGCCGGCCGGCTGGCGCGGCCATGGAGGTCTACATCCCGTCCTTTCGCTACGAGGAGAGTGACCTGGAGCGGGGATACACGGTAGGCGCGGGCCGCGGCGGGACAGGGCCCCGCGAGCCGGGCCTGCGGCGCTGCGCCCCGGGAGGCGCCCCCGGCCGCCGCCGCCCCTGCGCAGGGGTCGCCTCGCTCCCCTCCCCTCCCCCGGCCCGGAGGAAGGGCTGTGGCCTGCCGCGGTTGCCAAGGAAACGGGCGCCCCTCCCTGGCGCGGCGGCTGCGGGCGCCCCCCGGGCCCCCGGGTTCCATCCCTTCCTGCTCCCGGCCTGGGTGGGAGCGCCGGGCGCCCGGGGCTGGGGCGCGGCGCTCGCCCTTCTCCCCGCCGCCCTGTGGAGCCGGGATGGGCTTCGTTCGCTTCCAGCGCGGCTGCCCCCTTAGTCCGGACTGAAGTGGCTTCGCGGCAGGTTCACGCGAGCTTCCAAGTACTGTGCGTTCCTTCAGCTAGAAAACATGGCACTTTTTAAAAAATCATCATTTGTCGCTGTTTATTAGCCAGAGTAAACACATGTGTTGATTTGAGATGGTTTCCAAAGTTTGTTTTTTTCTTTTTTTCCAGTTATGCAGTGCCATGAAATGGCAAAATCGGTACTTACTGAGCACCTGTTTCATACACAGGACTGTGGTCACCCAGAAATGTGAAACTGGACCCCTGCTCTAAGAGTGAAGGGGAGGGCAGAGACCAGGGCGTGGGCATTTGGGGATAACAAGTTTATTAAGTGAACTGTTGGTGGTGATTTCACAATGAATTTAAACATTCTTACCTAGACAGTTATTGCTAGTGGGGGAGATGTCAGAGGGTGCGTAGACCTTGGAAGAATTTTCCAGTTGTTAAAGAATGGGTAGGGTTGGAGAGAGATTGTAAAGAGCAGTCTGTAAGGATTATTTTATTTACGGCCAATTCACAAACTTGCTAAACACCAGTTACATGAATTTGGCGGAGAAGTATTTTAACCCATCTCCCATCCTCTAAATATTATTGGTATTTGATGACAGTCTTTTGGGCCCTTGTGTTTTCATGGCAAGGACTAAATCACCCTGTCAAAGGAAGATTTAGAATTAAAAGCAGTGATCGGAAAAAAAAAAAAGTCCAGGAAGTATGTAGGTTTTTAGAATTCAGTAGACTCCTGGGTCCAAGCGTCCTGAGACAAGTACGTACTTAAAGTGCTTTCCATGGGGAGGAAACTGCAGGGAGAGGGGAGTTGTGCTGTATAGTGGCGGTTATTTATATAAATAATCCTTTCCAGTGCATTAACGTTTGGTTAAATATTCTATATCTTCTTTTTTAAAAAAATTGAACTTAAACTTGAATCCATTCAAGACTTTTTTTTTCTTGGAGGTTTTATCCAAGTCTCCTAAGCCTAAAACCTTGGGTTCGTTTTTCTAGGTATCTCACCTCTCTCATCAGCATCCTCAACACCCATGGAGGGCTTACCATTTTGGGGGCTTTCTTTTAGGATCTGAAGGTAAAAAGGCCAATTGTTAGGGGCCTTGGTTTTCAGAGAGAAGATGAAGTTGGTCTTAATAGTCCAAGCTAAAAGTTAATTACCTGCAGAAATAAGCTCTTTGAAATAGATCATAATTAAGGCTTATTGGCCATTATTGATTTTCTTCTACTGGAGGATCTGTGCTCTTTAAAAGTTTACTTAAAAAAAAAAATCCTGACTCATTTAAATTGGGAGTCACACTGTTAAAATACATTCTGAAGTGATCTTTTTCCTCTGTCAGTTTGTGAAGCAGTTAATACCTTTTCCCCCTGAGCAACTGATTTTATACTTGTACAGCAGTTGATTCATTCAACAAATATTAACTGAGCACCTGCTATAAATCTCTATTCTAGGTGCTGGGAATATAGCAGTGAATAATATTTCAGCTTAAAAAAAAACCCTAGAATTTAAAAGATATAATCTCAGTTTCCTAAATAAGAAACTGGTAAAATAATGTATACATTAGTAAAAAACAAAAAAACAAAAAAACAAAAAAAAAACACTATCTTTTTACTTTAGTGATTCTGTTTGTGTTTTAAATTTAAAAAGCATTACATCTCACTCTAACAAATTCAATGATAGGATGTTTAAAGTAGAAACAGATGGTTTCTCCTTTCTGCTTATAGTCTCATGCCCCCAGAGATAAAATGTAGGATATGGCTTAGAGATTTTTTTCCCTATACTGTGAAGACATATATTTTTTTCTTTTTTAAAGGAATAAATGGCAAGGTTCTACTACCACTGTCATCCTACAACTGTGGACATCTTTCACTGTTGACAGGGAGTGGTCTGCCTCCTCTTTCTAGCTGCTGGGGAAGGACTCCTCCACAGTGTGGCGCACCCTAATTTGTTTACCCGGCTCTCTGTTGATGGCCATTGACATTTTTTTCCAATTGTTAGCAACTATATCTATGTTAAAACGAGACATCATTGTCCATACTTTTTTATGGCAACTACTGAGATTTCTGTAGAACATTAACTAGAAGTGGTACTTCCAGGCCTTTTAAACTTTTATAGATAATGTACAATTGGTATTCAAAAAGTTTATACAAATTTATGCCCAAGGTACAAATTTATTTACTTTTAAAGAGTGAATTTTTGCCATTTAAGCATTTAAAGATTTGCTGTGGGCTTGCACTGTATTGGTGGGGATTTAAAGGAAAGAAAGATTTTGTTCCTGTCCTTAGGGATTCTGGGCCCATCCAGGAGTTAATCAGAGCAAGGCAGGGCAGGGTAGGGTACTTGGGGGGCCTGAGGGAGTGAGAGGTCAGTTCTGCTCTGCAGGGTGGCTGTGCTGGGGTGGGGGTTGGGGTGCTTAGGAATGCTGACTTTGAAATCTGGTTAGGTTTTTGCTAGGATTGTGAATTTTAGAAAGAGGAAATGTAGGGCAAAATGTCATCTCAGAAAAAAGGCATTTTAAAACTGAGGTACACCAAAAGGAGGAGGGCATTTCTAAATCAGTGTCCTTTACAAAGAAGTCGGAGAGGATATTGTAGCAAAATGCAATGAAGTCAAATGTTACTACTTCCTGGGAATTTATTCTCCTCTTCCCGCCCCCCATATGCCAATAGTTTACTTGTTTAATATCTGTTTCCCTGCTAGGCTGTGTACTCCCTGAGGCTAGGAATAGTGTTCATCTCCACTGTTGCACCTAGTACAGAGCCTATCACATAGTAAGAATTCAGTACATGTCTGTTGAATAAATAATGAGTGATTAAATCTTCATAAGAGGAGAAAATCAGAAGAGCAGTGATCTTGAGGCATGAAGCAGCTCAGCAGGTTATGTGGGGTCAGGCTGCAGACTGAAATTATGAGTAAGTAGCAGGGATTGTGCAAAGCGATTCCAGAGAGAGATGGGGAGAGACTAGGTCACTAGCCTTGAGAGCTATAAAGGGTATATGGACGTTAACTTCAGATAGGGTGAAGTTGTTGGAGAGTTTCAAAGAAGGAAATAACATGATTAGCTTTGCATTTAGAAAGATGACTATCTTAGTTCAGCCTTCTGGGTAGTTTATAAACGACAGAAATTTATATCTCACAGTTCTGGAGGCTGGGAAATCCAAGATCAAGGTGCTAGCAGACTGTGTCTGGTGAGGGCCCATTTCCTGGTTTATAGATGGTGCCTGCTTCTGTGTTTTCTCACATGGGAGAAGGGCTAAGATCCCCCTTGGACCTATTTTGTAAGGGGATTAATCCCATTTATGATGGCTCTGCCCTCATTACCTAATCACCTCCCACAAGGCCCTACCTTCTAATACCATTAGCTTGGGCTTAGAATTTCAACATAGGAATTTGAAGGAGACACAAATATTCAGACCATAGCAATGGCCCTGGAGCACTCATCATTTAAGAGACACTTGCAAATGATCGGGAAGGAGAGGATGAGGGCCTGAACTGAGGCTTTAGCATTGGGATGGAAAGGAAGGGATGACTATAAGAGTCTCCAGTACCTGGGGACCAAATGTAGAGCAGCAGGGTGACTCCTGTGGATGCAGGTAAGATAAGAACTGAAGCAGGGGAGATATTCATTCAGGCACCTACTGAGTTTTGGTGATGGATGCAGGCATTTGATTTTGGAGTTCAGGGTAGATAGAGGTCTTGGTTAGAAATATAGCTCTAAGGGGCCAGTCAGCATAAAGGATTGAAAAACAAAAACAAAAAAACACATGCAGAGTGAGGAAAGAGGGAGGGCCAAGTATAAAATCCTAGAATTTGCATGAGCAAAGATATCTGAGCACAGAATCCAGAAGGGGAAAGAAACCCAGGGGTAAGAGGCTGGAAAAAGAAAGGGTGGGAGATGCTTTACAAGAAAGAAAGTACCAGATGTGGCTGACTGATCTTGCAAGATGAGGATGGAGAACAGCCCAGTCCAAGACCTGAGAATACCAGGTCTCGGATGCCAGTTTAGGCTAGTATTTTCGATTTTAAGATACTTTGTAGGTAAAATCAACAAAACTAGAATTACTGCTTAGGTAACAGCACAAAAGTTTGAATGTATTAGATTTCAGTTTTCATAGCTGTAAATATCAAAGCAGAAATTAGACTTAAGTCCATTTTAACTGAATGTCTATGACTGACTACATGTGTTATGCTTGTACAGAAATGTCCTCTTGGGATCTGGAACCTATCGCCGATTTAGTTGTTACACACTTAAAATATATCATGCCCTTCAGTACGTAAGGCAGCTTTAGATATACATGTATACAGGATCATAATATTGTGATATGTGTAGGTTTAAAGTTTTTATGGATTAAAATACAAAAATTGAACAACATAACAAACCGCCATTTACCCATCACTCACCTTCGGTATTTTATAATTGTTATTAATATTTCGTTCGCCATCACTTATTCCCCACGTTTTTTTTTTTAATTCTGGAGTATTTTACCCGTAAATATTTCACTATGAATATCTGACAGTTAAAGGCTTTTTAAAGCTGTAACCAAAATGTAAATATTACCACAAAATTAGCAATACCCTAATATCCAATTCCCAGTTGTTTTTGTTGTTTTTTAATATAACTACAATGTAAACACTGCCTTG